TGTATCGAAGCTGCATCGTCCGGATCGCCGATCGACACATAATTTTTTTTTCCGTCGATCGTCTGTGGTCTGTGAGTTTGCGTCCGTGTCACATACGATTATTTGTTATAAAAAAAAGAATTGTATTAATATTCTACACCATAAAAACGGAACACGGCGTGGATGGTCGTCACGCAAAATTGTTTTATCATTTAATCAGTGCAATAAATAATAATATATGTCGGTATACTCTATTCGAACGTTTGTACTTATTTCCATTTTACTATAGGTGTACTGCGCCGGTAACCGGATAACCAACTCTAGCCTGCCGATCGCCCTGCCTCCCTCAAGCTTGGTCGTGCATATGGGAATAAGTGCACCACCGTTGATAATAATATATCATAACGCAGTCGAGTCATTATTATTTATAATATAATTATTGCGAAATTGGATATCGCATCGCGTGTCGAAGCTATATTTCGGTCGTACATAACATTTTTATTTTTTTTACCGACACCGCAAATAATAAAATTATATAATATTATCATATTGATATTATACAGTATGGTATACACGTGTATTATCGTTATTAAATTGAACTCGAGACTGTAATATTATATTAATACATTTTCTGTCAAAATCGAATCTCTACAGACGTCTGACCCAAAAGTAAACGACTGCACGTGCATCCGTGCGTGCACGCGTGATTTGAGCATGTATACACTGTCTGGTGCTATAATTATCATCAAAAGTGTATTGCCACCAGCTATGATAATTATACCTATTCGTAATTGCTTATCCATCCATTAATTATTCATAATATAAAGTTACGGAATATGTGTAGTTAATATCTCCCATTTACTCGCATAATGCACTTTTTAGTTTTATTATATAGTTAGTTATAGTTTTACAATTTAAGTGTTGGTATATTATAACAAAATATTAAGACCCATATTTTACGAATTTTTTTTCAGTACTTATATAGTAGCTTTTAGCCAATATTATAATATTATAGGTATACGTGATGATAATAATATCATGTCGACACTTAGCAACGCCGAGCAAATAAAACAATACCGCGATCCCATATATTGGGAGATTTATCGCAAAATTGTACTATTATTAAAGTGATAATATAAAAGGGGTGAGAGAATCGTCGGGCCTGTTATCATATACGGTTAACATATAACGAAATGTCCACATGACCACACATCCTGCAAATATAATATATTATATTAATTATTTATGTGTGCACATCACCAAGCAAAGGATAGGTTAGGTGCACGTCGTTACGTATTCGCAAATAGGTCACTTATAATATAATATTTCTAAGCGAAAAACCGATGACGGTTGTAGTCGATGAAAACTACATTAGACGACATATAGCTGTATGTTGTGTGCGTAGATGGGCACAAATAATATAATAATATTAATATGTTCTATTTGCTCGGGAATATATGTCACTCGGGATTGACCTGTCAACAATCGGTTTGGTCAGTCATGTGGTTTTCAAAATTTTCATCAATCCTGCCCCCCCCCCTACGTGGAATATATTAAGTATAAACGACGGTATGGTACATCGTAGCACAATAACACCGTGCACAATGACAGCTGAGTGTTGTTGTGCGTAATTTGTATTTTTACTATTCAATCGGAATCAATAGCCCTGATAAAAATATAATTTTGTTTATTTCCTGTGTTTAACCCCCCCCCCCATCTATTCTTACTACACTCAACTACTTTCCCGTCTAGTTTCAATATTTCTTATGCCTGTCAAAGACAGTGTCATAATATAATAGGTATCCATGTATATATAGGTTATTTCCTGAAACAAATAAAATGAGATTCGAGATTGGTCGTCTTTTAAAAGACCTACTTTTCATATGATTTCTTCAGTGTTTTTCATGTCTTTATTTCTGTTTATTGATTGAAAGAATCGCATAGTACCTAGTAGCTGAAAAAAAAAGATTGAAAAAAGTGTGGTTTAGGGCACAAAGTTTTGCGCTGAGTCCGTTTTTTTTATTTGTCTCCAGACTGACAGAGTGAAGCCACCAGAACCATCCTTTAAAGAATAGAGGCCAAATGTAAATGAAAACTTCACGGGAGTTAACTTCGAATAAGACATAATACAAAACAACCAAACAAATACCCCACATCTTAAACACAAACATTTTGTTGACAAATTGTTTTTAGACCAAAACCTTGACTGTCGATGCTGTATTGTATATAGCACAGAATAATCTATTATGTACGAAGTTGTAATGCTCGCACTGTATAACGTCTAACAACAGAAATTGTAAATTTACATAATATATCCTTTATAATATATATACACACACACACACACACACACACACACACACTTATGTATACACGTATTCACAATATAATTCACAGGAAACATAAACGGGTTAGTCTTGTAACTAGTAACTCAACAAATGTTAGGTATACAAATAATTATAAGATGTATTATAACTTATGAGACGTCACCTTTTAAAAAACTTTTTACATCAAAATTTTCGTGAGATAAATCTAGGATACACGTTTATACCATGACGTTTTAATTTGTATGTATTGCTTAAAATAGTTTACTCAAGGAAAACATAGAGTACCTACACTCCACGGATACCACTACTTAAGTGTAATACTTTTGAAACGTACATCGTTATTGTAGGATAATAAATATTTTCGAAATACTCGAACCAAAAGAGTTCATAATTGTTAAACTCTTTCAACCAAAAAACTATAATGCTCGGGGAGATAAAAAAAAAAAAATAACTAAATGAAATTCGCAGATTATAAGTATATAATACAAAATATATACGATAATGTTGTTTTTTATCAAATAATACGGTCACTAATTCCGTTTATTGTACATATTTTGCAGGTACTCGGTGCAAATACATCTCGTTTATTATATTGTTCATGAATAAATAACGAGGGTATTTCGTACGAAATATTTCCCTCGTGTCTGTATAGCTTATACTCGAAATATAATATTTACAATAATAAATACACGAGTTCTGAAGAAGCCTATTCGTTCGATAAAGAGAATTGAAAATGGCAATTCTTAAAAAACGTTTGACTATAGTCTACAGAAGGGCCACCAAATGGCTGCCCACGGGCAAATTTTATCCGGCTCACCGTAAAGAAAAAAAATATATTATACGATAGTATCATCCGTTCTAAAGTTGTTATTTATCATTTTTGTTCACTGGTTTTTTAAAGACGTTCGCATTTTGATGGCCTGTGAACTATTTCTAGATTCCTAATGTGTCCCTTCAAATATATTAATTGGTTACCCCTGGCCTATAGAGTATACCTATTGTAATATATATATTTAAGAAAATAATAAAAATTAAATCACTTGACTTAGATAATTTTTTTTATCATGAAAAGTTTTCTAAAACCCAGAATTAAAATTAGGCTATTTTACACTTAAAAAAAAAATTTAAGTAAGATTTAATTTTAATTTTTCAGTTAAAAAAAAATAAAAATAAAATTTTAAAATAACATGTAGAGCAGATAAATATTTTGGGTATTTACCCACTATAATATTTACCTACCAGAAATTTGAGTAAGTATTTAGTTAAATTTTTAGAAATTTTTTAAAATTTTAGTTACATTTTAATGAAACTTTAAATCCTTTAGTTTATTGAAATGGATAACTGTAGTTATTATCAAACATAATCTTTTATATTATTTTATTGGAAAAGTCCTGAAACAATCATAAAAAGTATTATGATATATTCATGGATTGGTTTTAGCATAAAAAATAAATTTACCCAATTTACCGGGTATTTGCCCATTATTACGCACGAGTCAATGAATAACAAAGACAAAAAATATTTAAAATATTGATTAAAAACAAAAGTTATTTAATATTTTAGATTTTTCTGTTACACAATGTATACTATGTCTAATGAAAAACATTCGGGAATTTTATTATTTATAATAATTATTATAATTTATAATTTTTTTATTATTTTATTATTTTATGTTATTTTCGATAACACTTTCTTTTATTAAACAATTTAAATTTATTCTTAATTGGATTATGCTTTTAATAATCTTTAAAATATCCCTATTTTTGAGAATTTAAAATGTATGCAGATTCTTATGTAATGACTTTATATTAATTCATTCAAAGTAACACAATCGATAAAGAAAGATTTGTAATTCAAAGAATTATTATTGTACACTTTTTCAATATTTAGGATTGCCTTTTTTAAAATGTTTTACACTAAACAAAGGAACTATATCGAATAGTAATTAACAATACCTAGTCGTTTTTCGGCCATTGTTTTACGAACCAAGTAGTATTAATTCTGTAAATTGTAATTCCTTAATTAATATACGGGAATACTATAGGACAATGAAACTAACAAAATTGTTCGTTAAGACACCAAACCCTCATGCGTTTCCTGAGTCTTACTCAGTCTTACAAACGTAATAGGATTGTTCACTCTAATACTCGTATTAGAGCTTACAACACAAAATTGGAACTTTTAGACACAAATTTGCTATTGTTGTACTTCCGTTTGTGAGATGGAGACAACACATGCGGGTGTGGGGTCCTCAGTTTTTAGTTTTATTAAATTTCTTATAATAATCTGTGGAATCCTAGGCCTTTGGGAATTATAGTTATTCTTATTCTACGCTTTAATACCTCAAAATAGAGTTTAGTTTTCACGAGTGATGGTGGATGGCGTGAAATCTTACGATTAAAAAAAAAAAAATCACAAACAATCCGAGATAGTTGCATAGAATAATCGTCATTTTGCGCCCACCTAGTTATTAAAAATTTAATAATAATAGGTAAACCTGATATTTGAACTATTATAAAAATCATTCCCTTTGATTGTGGAGATTGTGAGAATATTTGAAAAACAGTTACCGATTACCGAGTGGTGATATACAGACAATATTACACATTATACACATTACCTATTACCTAATATAATGTACATATAATATTACAGTTTATTAATTTTGCTTATCGTGCACTCATGGGACCATTTTCAGCCAATACTTAGTTTTACGACATATTCATTAGGTGGTCTGAAGAGGACTTCGTTAAGGTACACGAAACCCCTAAAATGTTGAAGATTAATGAATATCATCCTTCTAGTTCCGGCTGACTTTATCCTTAACCGGTTTAATATCTTCCATAGTACGTATTTTAATTCGTTTTCTGGAGGTCGTATTTCTTCCGTACGTTTCCCATATTTTATCCTATTGTTTTCTAGTCGTTTTTCCCATTCTGTTTGGCTTTTATCTTCCACAGCAGCCGTCATCGTGATCTGCCGGCTGGAATGTAGGAAACTGTTTTTCGATTAAAGTATTTTTCTTTAGGCGATTAGACCATAATATATCAAGTTCCTACTTATGGCACGTCTTATTTCTTTCTACATTTGCCTTCGTCAGTCTGCGTACACTTGGAGGTGCAATCAGACTAAGCACTTATAACTTGTCTGTGGCTTAAAGACATACGCTGTGGGTTCAGGCATGATTCGTGTGGAATTAACATTTATCTAGACTATATTTTTGTGTATATTAGTAGTGAGCTGTAGTATTTGAATTGGGGCAAACCGTAGGTATATATAATATATAATATTCAATACCTAGAGAGTACGAACAATTATTTTTTAATCGTGGAGCTTTATATTATGTGTTATATATTATTTTAAGCATAGGCTCACTACTATACGCTTATACTTATAAAATATGTACCTATGTTCCGATGTTCGTAATGTGTATAGGCTCTTGTATAATATATTAATAGCATATACCTTTACCTACAGCCAACTGTATTGAAAGAGATGGAAATAAATGTAATGCGCACATCGTAGGTAAACGCCCTGGTAAACGTGTACAATGTATAATATATAGGTACTTGACTGTAGCACGTTGAGGATCGGTTCAAATTAAAAACACAAAAAAAATAATTTAATCACATTTTTATCTCGAGATCGCCGCTATTAAATTGTTCACGCACGTGTCGTTACACGTTTCGAATAAAGTCAAGCACAAGTCGTTACGAATAATTTCGTTCCATTCAGCAGAAGGTACGATCCGTTTACTGGCTATAAAATGATATTATTCTATGTAAACTTTTGTGTTTTTAAAAAAGTCAAAATAACGTATTTATATAGTTTGAAGTATTATTATAGCACCACATTTTTACAAAAATATCCAATTTTGATGATTAAAAAACATGTTTTAATCATTATTCGATGTAAATATTTATCAACATTTTTAGAAAATTATTCTGTTTGTGAATATGAAACAATAAACATATTAGGTTGTTTTAACAAAAAAAGAAAAAAACAATCTTTATGTATATAGTTAAAACAAAATACTATTATCTATAATAGGAACAATTATAATATTATTTAGTATTGTAACCTATTCAAACATAATACAAATATATATTTTTATAAATCCGAATACCAGATTGTCATGGACAATTCTAGTTTGGTTAATTTATCGATACACTCCGTATGCATATAAATTGTTAATATACCATATTACTGTTTTAGTTATAGGTACATGATTCATGTGTATGTATTAGATGGTCATGTCCATATGTATAAGTACTTTAGTGACCTAGGTACCAAAGTCCTGAGCGTTCAATACTAATCGTGTCCTCTACACACAATCCCAAGGATAATCTTAATAATAATAATGTGGCTAAGTATATATTTTAAGGGCGATTATTCTGGTAAAGTTGACATGATACCACAGTCGTGTATTTTTTAGTAGGTATTTTTTATACCTATTCTAGAACACGTCATATTATCTAGTTTTGAGTTGATCCACCACGACTAATGATTATTATAAGCCAAATTAATAATTATATGCTTAGTGTGTGTATTGTAATAGGTAGTTAACTATTAACGAACAATTATAATTTCCATCGGCATTACTGTATTACTGGTTTAAGCGCTACATAGGCACCTATAAAGTGGTTGATAAAAAATAATTTGAATTTTAAAGTGCTGCGCTAAATGCACATCGCCATCTACACGTCACGTGATTTCTAACCACTAGGAAATTCGCGGAATACTTGGGTTTTCCGCCAGATGGAGCAGGCGTTTACGATTGAAACCTTTCGGGAGTTGGACTTGAGCATTTGCAGCGCCCGTTTACACGACGACTCTCCCATATCCGAAGTCCCACCACAAAACAAGGATTATAGCCATAACAAAATCTTAAGCACACTCTTCCTTTCCCCGAGACTAACCCAACCACCATCAACGAGAACATTATATTAGTTATTTACAATCTGTGGTTTAACTCCGGTTAATAAGTCAACTCTATTTTATGTATACCAGCAATGCAAATATTTATTATCTCATATGATAAAACGTATAAACTTCGGTTAACCGACTTAGGTATATACATAATATTATAAACCAGGTGTTAGCTTTCAAAGTTTCAGTATTCATACCACGAATTAGTTAATTTATTGAAAAAGCAGTGACACACGTTCCCTGAAATTTCAAAAGGTCATAAGTATGAAATGTATTTAATTCGTTTTATAAAAGTTGTGTAATATGACAACACGGCGTTATAGGTAGGCTAAATAGGTACACTAAATGTGGTATGTAATCAAATTGATTGTTCCCATAGACATTATTAATATGTCTATGATTGTTCCCATTATAATATCAAAACCTACTATGGTATTATTATTTTATATTTTTGAAAGGTCATTTTAATAACAAAAAAATCATTGTATTTTCAAATTATGCAAGAAAACACCTGAAACTCCTATTAAACTACTCCTGCACCAATACGCTTAAAAATTTAACTATGGTTAATTTTAAGTTGGCTATGCCAAGACATAATAAATAACACATTTGACAAGACTTCTTGTATTATTTTTTGGCTTTTATTTTACTTTTAATTTTTTTTGAAAAAAACATTGTCACTACTACTTCTTAATATTATGTATAAAAAGTACAATATTTTGGTTATTTAATTATTTTAAAACAAAAATAGGACACAAGTACTAATATTATTAGAAAATGTTCATAATTTTTTTTAATTTTTGCGGTATAAAATAAAAATGGAAAAATTAAATGAATAATTCTGACACGATTTATGACTTTAACAATTCAAAATTATTATTGTAGTCCAGTCCGTAGTGGACTAAAATGTAAAATGTTTTATAAAGCCATTAGTAGTAGAAATGTAGCATTATATTATATTGTGTGAAAGTTGTTCACATTAGTTATTCATATTTACGAATTTACTATGGATAATGTTATATATTGTAAAGTATTCGAGTAATATGATTATAAAGTTAAAGTAATATTTAGAATTCGAATACTTTTACGTCAAATACTATTTTAAATGTAGTAGTTATGTGTCTGTATATTTTGTTACAACTTTTAACTTTAAAGTATTCATACCTCATATAGCAATCCAACTTTCAAGCACTTAAAATATTATTAGTAATTAATATTACATTTTTATTGATACTCATTGAATTCTAACTTAACTTTTTAGATTCTGAGTGGTTTTACAATAATGTTTTTTTTTATGATAAATTTTTCGGTTAATACATTTGTTGGGTGTTCGAAATTCCCCAAGCAATAAATATCGGAAGTCATGTTTTTATGGTACCTACTCTAAAGAGATATAATATTTTGATTTTATTAATGGTTTCGTTAAGAATCAATAATTAATAACCGTTTATATTTAAAGAAATTTCAATAAACAAATGGTTTTAACTGAACTCCCCTTGTAATCTTTTTTGAATGCTATAATATCATATTATAATATTATATACAACTATAATATAAATTATTTATTGGCCACTTATTTGATCTGATTAGTCTTTTGTTGAAACTAATGTGTAAATGTGTTATGTGTACTAGACAAATAAGACTCTTGGGGAGTTAGGTTAAATGGAATCCCGTGTTTAGTGTTCCAGGTTACCTATAGGCGCAATTTCAACTTTTGACTTGGGGGGGGCTGAATATAGCAATATTAAAACTGTGTGTCCTAGGTTTTTTTGGGGAGGCTACTGCTACGTTTGGGGGGCTTAGCACCTCCAAGCCCCCCCCAATTTGCGCCTATGACTGATTACCTACATACATATTTTTTATACAAAAAAAAAAATAAATGATAGACAATTACTGGATGGTGGATAACTTGGGTGATATAAAGAGTCAAAATGGTCTTATTAAGGGAACTAAAATAGTAAAATATAATACATATTTTACATTTTAGTAGAAATATCAAATAGTAGAGTAAAAATAAAATCGGGAGGTTATATTATATTGGGGTATGTAATATTATGACTGTACCGGTTTTCACGCAAACAAGGCGCATAATATTGTCTGTTTCAATGTCGTAACTTTGCGATCCACTGATGCACCGGTCGGTAGCGATGCCTAACTGTTACAGTTATAGGCATCAAAACAGTATCAGTTTTTTGCGACCATCCAGCAGTGCGGCCGTCGTTATCACATATTCGTATCAATATTCCTATCAGCATTATCCGTCTTGTGATCAACCGTTAGTGTAGAATTCAAGGTGTATCAATACACCTTGGTAGAATTTAAACTTTTCTTATCTTGAATGCATTTTTTCGTCACGTTTATAATATCTTTGGTATTACATCTTTCTTTTTTTTGCCGCCTCCCTAACTGTACGGTGTTTCGGCCAGTTGCGTATAGTTCAGACCATTTTTCCGGGTTCAAAGTGCAAAACCAAGCCCCATGTTCAGCTGTCTAATGTGTTATATTCATATTTCATTCATTGTCATTCGTCAACCACCTATGTGTTTCTTGTGCTGTGATTGCTTCTGTAAGTGTCGTTAATAGTCGTTACACAGTGCATTTCATAATATTATGATGCCACTTCAGGACATTGAAATACTTATAATAGAGGCACGGGATTTATTTATTGTGGTGATTACAATATGTTGTCAGTGAATTCTTCGTTTTGGTTTGTGGCTCGTTAGTCGCACGTTATCGGAATTGTCACAAATTGTATTATTATATACTTATAGTAATTTGTATTGTGAAAATGTGTGAATCCAAGACGGCAGCGTTCTGGTTTGAAGCCTCTAACGGACACCAGGTAATCGGCTGACGAGCCGCATAAATATAACTATAGCATTATTGGACTAGCATATTATATTTAACTAGGTAGGTATGTCTATACAATTTCGGGAATTGTTATTATTATTATTATTATTATAATTTGTACACCATTATAATTATCACCCAATGGCCAAAGATGCTGCGGGTTTAATCAATAAAAAAAAAAAAATTGGGAATTAAAGAATAGGCCATTTTTGTATATTTTTATTCCATAATCTATTAAAATTTTTTGCTCTCAATAACTATTAAGTAATATTAATAATCAATACAATATTCATCTGAAGTTTGTTATGTAAGTACCTATCTACTACAATTATTATAACATTATTATTTCATATTGTTTTACTATATTATGTAATGCATAATCTACCATACAACAGTGGACACTAAATGTCCAATGAAAAACTTATCCACCAGATGGAGTAACAGTATTATTTATATAATAATTCATAAAAATAAATCCATCTCGTTTGAATTTATAAAATAGAATATGGTATTAATATTAAAACAATACAGTTATTGACCACTGAATTTACTATACGGTCTGGGTGATCATACATGCAGTATATTTTTACTGAATACATTGCAATACTTTAACTATTTCTTTTCTTAGTACCTTCACTGGAGTCTGAAAGTACCTATGAATATATATTTAAACTTTAAATATAGTAAGTTCATCAATTTCATATACAATAGATGTGTAATTAATGATCTACCTTGTCTAAAAATCCCAAGACACTAAATTATCGTTGGAATAAGTAATTAGGCTGTGTGCAAGTATTTTTTTCTTCAATTCCATTTTCATGGATAATGATATATATTATTTGTTTATCGTTCAGACACAATCTAAGGACATATTGTTTTTATTATCAACGACTATGAGAGCTTACACAAGTTTAACGATTATATCGGAGAATTATATAATACGATATTATCAGTGTTTCTGACATATCATCAACATAATACAAATATAAATAATAATTAGGTAGAGAGCCCATCTGAGGGTTCATTTCGAACGGGTGATAAAAAGTCACACGGCGTATCGTCCCAGAACTAAACCAATATAATTCGTTTGGCGGTTAAAATATAATAATATATAATATAATCTTTATTGTGTGCGTGTCGTCATGGCCTTATTTATTAAGAGAATTTAAAAACAACCACCTTTCTCTTCTCTTTCACCGTTGTAAGTCGAGTGTATGCATATACATAATTCGTATACAAGTATACCTACGCGTGGTCTGGAAATCGCCGAACTCGTCGTGGTCGGGGTCGTAGTGGTCGAAGGGAAACACTTAGACATTTCTAGGGCTTTGGCGGGTCATATATTATAATCCAATAAGAAGAAGAACGTGTAAGGATTCATCCTGGTGGTTTGAGTGGAGTATACGTGTCCCGGAGCGAGAATACCTGCAGCGGTCACGTCCATATATTGCCTTTTGTTGTTATCGCAGTCATAATTATTGTTTTTCTTTTTATTGTTCTCTGTTTTCAATTTCGTCTGTTCGCTCATCGGTTTTGGTTTTTTACCTCCGACTACGGTGGTCAAGCTGGGATCTTCAGCGAGCTCGGGGATGCCTCCAGACGGGTAAATAAATACATACGCGTGCACGGATGATAAATCCTTTTGCATAATATTATTACTCTGCAAACAAATCTCATCTCTCTAGCGATACGCTGCTAAGTTCCCTCGTCGTCCACGTAGTGACTAGTGAGTGCCTACAGAAGAATGCGTACTCGGCCCTTTTTTTCCTATCCCCGTTATTTATTGTTTCCCTTCTGTTTTTATTTTAAACATCCCGCCACCTTTCCATTCACTACCCAAGGGAAATACAGTTTGTCGAACTTTCGACCTGCACTGCAATCCCAAACCAATCGAAAAACAACGTTCTCTAATACGAAACATCTTGCAATATTAATCACGTATAGGTTATATACTTTTAATTGTGGGTCTTATATTTGGTACGTACCTACCTACCGGTGATGTTAAATCAACATTTTAAGCATATTTATATAATATTATTTAATTGATACTAATGTGATTTAACTTTATCGCAGATAACTTTAAATTGAAGAGTATTCAATGCATTATGAATAAACAACTGCAGTTTCGATAAAGTGAAAAAAAAATAATCACTGAGATTCATATGGGTGTAATTTTAAAGAAATTGAGAAATGTTCCGATATTTTAGTCACCTACTCTGGTTCGTTGCCATTTTTCTAGTATAAACTAGGAACGCGCTATTCACTATATTAACATATTTTAATCAGTCAATCTGTCAATTATAGATATTTCGAATTATTTAGCATGACGGACATCAATGGTTTTAATTTTTTTGGCGATTTACTTTGGTGGAAGAAGAAACTACTGATAAAGTTACGACAACTCGATTTTATTGCCATCAATTTCGATTTATTTACTATACCTAATTCTTTATATTAATATCTCCAGGGACTTTAGATATTTATTGATTATTTGATTAAATATTTGACAATTTCGTGCTTCAACATATAGTTTTCTATTTTTTTGCATTTATATAACACAGATTATAAACATAACATTTTTTTGTAGCCAAGACTAAAAACCATATGTAAAATAATTTTATAGGTAGTTAATAATTTCAAATCTCAAATGTTTATTCATGTATGGTTATGATGGTAAACTAAAAGATATAATATGTGAATAAATTACATTGCAGAAGCTATTGGTCATTAAAAACATGTAGACTACATTATAATGGTTAACTTTTTTATTTTATACATTTATAATTACAAATACACAATTGTTTTATTAATTTACTTTAAAGTTTAATTGGATTTCTAATGTTAAACTTTTAAAATAAACTTTTCCGAAGGAACAACCCACATAATAATACATTGAAAGAATATAATAATATTATGTATGTATATTTGATTGTGCAATTAATTGGCTTGCTCACTAAAAAGTAGAAATGTAATTTAAAGTAAATATACTTAAACGTGAATACATATACCTACATTTATAAAGTTTAAGAAGAAAATCTGGATCAAATTTCTTATTTTGTAGTCTGACTTTTTTTCTATAGATTTTAATTCCTGTTAAAGACAGTAGTATACTGAATTACTAACAAAAGTTTCAGTACATAATTAAAGTTTTTAAAAATCCAGTGATTTTCTGAACTGTGGACTGTGGTATAATAATAAATATTATGATTGTACAGCCAAGTTCAAAATAAGAAAATAAATGTTTTCAATTGAAATTGGTGAAATGTCTTTATTTTATATAGCTGTTTAACTGACAAAAAAATAAAAATCGTGTAATTTGATTTTAATTTTGAGAATAGTTATTTGGATAAAAAATATTATTTATTATAGTATATGGTTTGTATATGATATATTTACTCTTAAATTAAAATTATAATTTGAATCATTTTATTAATATTGTTGAACTGTTTCATTCAAACAACAATGTAGTAGACGTTTGAATAAAACTTTAAGAATAAAATCTAGGGTTGTACAGCTTTGTAACTTTTTTTTGTAAATGTGTTGGAATCTTTGGGCCCTCAGATTTGTTGTTGTGACCAGTGTAGTAAACTGGGGAAAAACTATGTTTCGTATACAAAATGTTTAACTAAGCCATAAGATAATCGTAAAAAAGTGTTAAAATCAGTGTTGAAATCTGGCCTGGGGATGACCTGTTTAATATGTGATATCAAGTCATTGGACTCTATAGAAATAAGAAAAGTAGCAAGGGAGTAGTTAGGTATAGTAGATACTAAGATTAGAATTTTTTAGTGTTAATCTGTTAATCTGTAACTGCAACGCTCAAATACAAACGAATTTAATTCCCGTTTCAACTAATTACACGGAAACTAAAATACCTAATGTAAATGTAAATGTTAATTAATCTAATTGTTGCAATCGCGTACCTGTAAGGGAAGCTATTACGTAAGTTTCGATCTGCTATAATAATATATAATCACGTCTGAGAACTTATCCTAACCCTTACAACAATAACTATAGATATTATAAGGCTTTAACGGGGTGTGGTATCTTTAGTCGTCGTCCCAGCCGCATATTTTCAGGGTCCATGCCGTATTAATAAGTGAGTGTGTGACTGTGTGATTGTGTGTGTATGTGTATACTTTGTACTGTGTGTGCGTGCATGAATAATATAATAAATCCAATAGTCATCGTCGTGTATTATAGTCGGTGTATACAGAGATGAACTCAGTCAATGCGAATATGCGATTAATCGACACAAGAGAGGCGTCCCTGCAGCGGCGCCGTCGTCAAAGAGTGTCGGTACCTATAATATTATAATATGTAAAGGGTATTATCGTAACGGCACGCTGTTATACTGACTGCAGCAGCAGCAGCAGTGTTTGTGTGTTGGCAATAACGACGCATACAACACACCTGTATTACATATAATAATATAATATACGCTCACCCACTCAGAGGCAGTGAAGCTGCACGTGTGCCGCGAACGTGTATTTAGTTAATTAATGCTCGGCGGACTTTACTGCTGTCGAACAATAATAACGGTAATGACAATATTATTATTATAGTCGCAGGTATAATAGGTATATTGTATATATATATATATATATACATACATGACGTGTATACCTATATGCGGCTATGTAGCCATGTATAACATCGTATACGGTATACGCGGTATTGGATTATATTATTATTATAATATTAGAACAATTATTATTATTACTTCAACGACTCATGGTTCTAAGGGTGGGTGGATACGCCTTCTCTCTCACACCCCAACCACCACCACCACCACCACCACCACCACCACCACCCCCCAAGTATCGAAACGACATCAAATGCCGTTACAGCCTACACTGTGTTACATCTCTTAAATCGCGAGTTGGCAGCAGCATCGTCCCGGCTGCATACGTGCGCGTGACAAGCATGTACCTGAGCGGTACACGCCGCCGTTTCACTACCTACCGTATACCACGTTCAAGGTGTGTGAAGTTATACGTACGACGGCGCTCATGGTATATTACTCATGATGTCTCGTGTATACGAATTCCGCTCCGCACCCGTATACATTGAATAAAATATATATATCAGTCGACCCGGCGGCGGCGGATTTAACGATTTACCGCACAAAAATTATATATCCATCAACCCCTCCACAATTATATCAGCTTTATATTTCAACCATGCACTTATATTTTTATATTTCACTGTTCGTTTCAAACAGAGAAAAGCCACGATTTAACTATAATTGATTTTACTTTTTGTGTGTTGACCCTGTTTTTGTTGGCGCCGCATTGCACCTACACGATACACTCTGTAACCGATAGCTGCCACGTGTTGTATAGAAATAATAATCTGAGATGACCTCAAATTTATAAACATAAAACAATCCACAGACGAGCTGTCAACAACGAGCTTTGACGGTGACATTGAACGTCCATCTCTAGTAGAAATGTGGTTTTTTACTTTTTCTTATCTGTGTTGTACTATATATTGTCACAATGACATGATACGTTGTTGCGGAGTTGACAATCCGTGTGTTATGTCCTTTAAATGTTACAATGTCTCGTCGTTTTTCAAATACCGATCGATTTCTTCCCGTCGAACCACCTATAATAGCATTTGGACTATTTGTATGAAGAAGTAAAAAAAAAAAAAAATTCTTTATTATACTTTTATACGCGAGTGTTCGAAACGCTATTAGGATAGCATAAAACAACCCATTCTATGCTTTTGCGCTGAAATTGTTCGATTACTACCTATATAGGACATGTAAAATAGAATACATCTAACTGGAAGTATATGATATAATTTAGGCAATGCTTAACTTTATGATAAATTCGGTCTAGCATGCGTGTATCAAAAGATGGCAGCAAACACAGTAAATTCTCGATGATTCAAAATAATGTGTGAATTGGTTACGACGCTTAACCAACGTTTCGTCACTTTAAAAAAATTAATAAAACATTTTCCGTCCATAACGTATTATACTATAATATAAAATAATAGTTTATAATCTAATAGTATGGTGTCTATTGTAACGGTTCGAGAGTGCGTGGTTTGTGTGGAGATTTTAAAAACAAGGGAACTCGCTTTACTATAGGGAGGCATAATGATAGGTATAGCGAAGTTTTTGAAAAATCTCGTCATTGAGTAGTTCACTTTAATGGATGAGTAAAGTTTGAATTAAAATATAATATAATTATTGTGTAAAAAATATCATAGTTAGACAAATATGCTGTGTCAACCTCTATTTCAAAGGATATTAAATATGATATTATATTAATTATCTTATGAATCGTTTTTATTTTTCTATAAAACATTGGTATGCGATGAGTTAATTAATGAACTTAATTTGTTAAAAAACATCCCATAAATGTTAAATTATATTATAATACTGGTTAGTGGTTATGTAATATATTATAATGACATTATATGATTGTATTATGTTTTATTGTCATTATATTTTATTATTTTAAGCCAATACCAACGTACCTTACAATGAATAGTGTATCTAAATATTTTGTAAAGGTCATTGAAAATTAGTCTATAGAAAACAATATTATACTTAATGGAGAAAAGTATCATTACCTGTACAGTTAATATTTTTAAAATTACAACAAAATACGTAAAACCGTTATAAGAAAA